CCTCCCCAATTCCGGTAACCATTCCTTTTTCAGGACTAATTTGTAGTTGACCCCCTCAGGACTAGTTTGCAATTTTGCACTTTTTCCAAGTGGGGGATAACCACAAATTAGTCAATTATACACATTTGACCTTTGACCTTTGAATTTTGACCTTTGACCTTTGAATTTTGAATTTTGACCTTTGAATTTTGGACTTTGACCTTTGAATTTTGAACTTTGACCTTTGAATTTTGAACTTTGACGGTTTGACCGTTGAATTTCAAACTTTGACATTTGAATTTTAAACTTTGAACATGCCCCCAAAACTGGCAAAGGGGAGAGTGTCGAGTCAATTATAATCACATTTTTTAGATTCCTGGCATTATAAGGTGTCCAGTCTGTCAACTCAGTATATTTCAAAAAGCAAAAAATGTTGGGGAGGTATTATATGCCGTCCAGTTTTTGTACTGTGTGGAGTCTTCACCATCTTGCAAATTTTTGTCATCTGTTTTTTTTGGCTTTTGTTCTAGGCTACCAGCCGGGCCGCCGGGGTCACCCTGTTTTCCCGGGGGGCCCTGGCCGTTCAAGGACCAGGGAAGGTCACCAGCAAAAAAAAAAAAAAAAAACACAACGAAAATCCAAAAAATCCGAAAAAAAAAACTACGTTATGCAGAAAAACAAACTGAGCAACTTTTGCCTCAGGGTCACATCGAAATTCTTTACCAAATTTAAAATGAAAAATAAAATAACAAATAATTTTATTTTATTTTTATTTTTATTTTTTTTTGGCCCGGCCGGGCAAATGGTCCCGGGCCACTCTGGTAGCCTAGCTTTTGCTGAAAATTTCCTCCGCACTGCAATTTTTTATTAGTTTTTAATTTTCTTCCTGTTTTCTGTTTCTCCCTCCTCCAATCTTGCTCCTCTGTTCTCCTCCTCCTCCTCGTGTGACTGTACATGAGAATTTAAAAAAAAAAAAAATAATTGCCATGACAGCTAGGCTACCAGCCGGGTTGCCCGGGTCCCAGGTGGCCAGCCCGTGCAAGGACCAGGGAAGGTCCCAGCAAAAATAATAATAAAAAGGGAAAGAATCCAAAAATTCTGAAAAACAACTATGTTATGCAAGAAAAATAAACTCAACAACTTTTTTTTCTTTTTTCTTTTTTTTTTTTACAGAACTTTGACCATTCCCTTATATGCTGGAAAACGGGTCCAGCGTCCCTTACATGTGAACCGCAGCCATATGAGGCTGGGAAAAGCACACCCGACCAATCCCATCCCCAACTGCAGCCAGAAGTCAATGAAAATGACTCAAACCCTAGCTACTAGTAAGTTACTAACCAAGCAAGAATCAATAAAAGATTTACTCAAACCCTAACTACCAGTACCCAACCATTACGAAACGAGCA